TTTCAAAGGTCCTCATGGCTCAGCAGCAGAAGCATAAATATTACTGTTAAGAAAGCTGATGATAAAGATGCCCTGTCTTCACTTCACCATCTGTGCTGCAGTTTCACGTCTCCAAAATGAGCGTACGCATGGGTCAGAGCTGGCGTGAGGCTCCGCACATTTTCACGTCAAGTTTGGATTTTATAAATCACAACCTTGGCGTAAAAAGTGGCGTACGCAAGTTTCTGGGCTCAAATTGTGCGTACGCCAGTTTTATAAATCCGACCCCTGATCTGTTTTTATTTGAACCTGTACTGAGTTTATAAAGCTTTTTGAAACCTGCATGTAATGAATCAGATTATATCTGATCGAGACGATATCCCCAAACGCACCTTTCACTTCAACCACACCCAGAAGGGGCGCAAAAGAGTTACCTACAGCTTGATACTCGATTATGTCAGAGTAAATAAATAAATTATAATTTCCAGCATGTAGATCCGTTTGATACGTGGCCGGTCCTTCGGATAATGTAAACCACTGCGACGGATCCAATCCTATCAGATAACACAACGGGGGCTGTAATCTGATTTGATATTGACCTTGGCCTTTAAATTCCACTTTTTGTGTAATAGTATTAAAAGACAGATCCACTGCCAACGTGTACTCGTGTAATGCACTTGTCATCTGTCTGACCAAGTCTTGAATGCTTTTGAAACTTCCACCTTCGTTGAGTTTTAAAGAAATAATAACTGATTCCTCCTTATTCATTTTCTGAATTTTCTGAGCTCAAAGTAACACCCTGAGCTGGGAAGATTGTACCACGTGTGAGGATAAATGATCTCGCAAAGACCGACTTCCCACTCTCCTGATAATTTGATAGGTTTTGCTAAATGCACGATAAAATCCGAAGTTTTATTTTCAAAGGTCCCAGCGTTCGAATTCGAAGGAAGTGTCACGTAAAAACCATGTGTAGGATATCCCATGTTTATCACCCACAGCGTGTAAGCGTACTGGCATTTGTGAATAACGATAGGTAGGTTTTTATGTGTGTGGTGTAGGCTGATGTGATGACGTTTATGAACGGTGGCAACGTAGGTTTTTTACGTGCGACGTAAGTTGACGTGATGACGTTTACGAACGGAGGAAACGTAGGTTTTTTTACGTGCGATGCGGGTTGACGTACTGACATTTGTGAATGGCGGTTACGTAGTTTGTTTTTGTTTTCATACGTGCTGTAGATCGCTGGCTTTAATCCACGAATTAAACTTGTCTGGCCAATTTTTCCAGCTGACCAGGACCTGTCCTTCACCTCTGAACGTGCGTTTATTCAACACTTTATCCACCTGGTACACTCTCTCATGGTCTATTTCGACCTTTTGTAATTCCTGTTCGTAGAAAGACCCCTTTATCTTTTCACCATCAAAGTCTATAATTTTGTAAACAGCTGGATTTCGATAGAGGCATTCAGAGATTGTAAATATTTCATCAGTGAAACTTTGTAGGTATTTCTTATCAAAAACACCATGTAGTTTAGAGATTCTACCATGATCACCTTTCTTGAGATTAAATTTGCATTTAACCCATTTAAAAGCTCCGTACAAATTGTGTAAAACTTGCTGTTTGTTTTCAGAAGATACATCTATAGGGCGCATTTTAATGCTTGAATGAAAAGACTAGTAACTTTTTACAAAGTCCTGAAGCGCGTCCACATAATGCAACGTGTTTCCAGCTGTAAAAATTTTCCACATTCTGGTTTTCAGCGTCCTGTTAAAACGCTCAACAACTGAAGCCTTCACATCGCCGTACGTGTAGAAATGAACCACTTTGTGTTTATCCCTTAAACTCTGAAATTTCTTATTTAAAAATTCAGTTCCCGCATCCGTTTGAAGTTTTCTAGGGACTCCGCTCTCGGTGAAAACAGATTCCATGGCTTTCGTAACTTGAGCAGCTGTTTTATTTTTTAGAAGTCTTACGTAAGCACGCTTGGAGAATACGTTGATTACAGTTAATAAAAATCTGTATCTATCGTTGAATTCAGAAAGACTGTTCATGTCACATAAATCTGCTTGAAATTGTTTGAGAGGCGCGGAGACAAAAATTTTATTCCTGGGAAAATGTATCCTGGCTGGTTTATGCAGAGTATTTGCATCTTGACTACTTAAAAATGTTTTAATTTTATCAGACTCGATATCCAGACTAGTTTGATCTTTGACAGCAGATTGTAATCTCTGAATTTCTCCGAAACTAGCTGGGTTAATTGGAGGGTAATAAATTTTTTCTAGGATTTTCTGTTCTTCCATCATGTCCCCTCATGAATGATTCTGACAGAAAATGACTAGTTCAAAAAACAACATGAATCTTTTTATATTTTCTTATGAGAGAGAGAGAGACTTTTTTATTAAATTTGAAAACTATTTACTTTCAAAGTGAATGAGAGAGAGAGAGAGAGAGAGAGAGAGAGAGAGAGAGAGAGAG